CTGCGTTGGCCAGCCGTCTTGGGTGCAATCGCGAACGCGATTCACGCGATTCTTCGGTGCGAGCGCGATCACGACGCCGCATTGGGGATGGCGGTGGGGGAGCTGCTAAGATGCACCGTGCCAGCCGCCCTGCCTGAGCCCATTGACTCTGGTGACTGGCTCTGCGATGCTGCAGCCCTGCTCTTTGTTGGGATATGCGAGCTTGACACGAAGGAGGCTGCGGAGCTCGTCAAGGCGGCGCGCTGGGTCTGGGAGCACGCGGCCCAAAGCCGGCTGCTTCGCGATGGACACCCGTGGCAGCCATTACTTTTGCAGAGCATGCAGCGCGCCGCCGACCGCATTGAGGAGCTCGAGGCTCGTGCGGCTAGGCATGACCAAGAGAATCTGCTGCAAATCGTGCGTGGCGGTGTGGCGGTGGCCGAGGTGGCGACAAAGCACTGCGCAGGCGGCGCGGTCGACTCGGCTCCCGCCCGCATCCTGAGCGAGCTTCGCAGCCTCGAGCGTATTTTGCAGAACGAAAAGTTCGAGCTGATGGTCTACGGCGTGTACAGCGTTGGCAAGAGCAGGCTGCTGCAGACAGGCTACCCGTCGCTGAAAAATATGCTGCCTGTCTCCTCTAAGGAGTGCACCGCGCACCTGATCAAAATCGACGTCGGTGGCGGCAGCAAGGGCGCTGAATTGCATTTCCACTGGAGCGCCGTCGCTGAGTTGGACTCGACGCTGCGCGATTTGCTCCCGGAGAAGGTGCGCGAGTTCCTTGACGAGGAGACGCTCGCGCTCGCCAGGGAATACGTCCTCGCTGGCTGCTCGCTTTGGCCGGATGGGAGCGAGCAGGAGTCGCCTCCGACGCTGCGACTTTCAGAGGAGGAGGTCAGCGCGTGGGCTCGCGTCCATGGCAACGATGGTGCGAGCATCAAGGCCCTTGCTAGCGTAGTTGATCACATCGCGGTCGGCGTCACGGCAAAGGTCGGCTGCAAGCCGTACAACATCATCGACGCTCCTGGGCTTGGGGCCGACGAGAGCCGACGCGCCATCGCAGAGCGCCACTTGCGCAAATGCGACGTGCCCATCGTCGTCGCCTCCTTCACCGACCTCAGCCTCGAGCCGCTCCAAGAGGCGTTGCGGCAAATAAAGGCCAGCGGCCACCAGCCAATTATCGTCATTACCAAGCTCGACGCGGAGTACAAGGCGCTCGATGAGGACGACCACTCTGACCAAAGCCTGCAAACACTCATGGAGGCGAGCATGGCGGACGCGCGGCGCATCTTTGTTCGGGCCGGCTTCCAAGCGTCGGATGTCCACTTCGTATCTGCCTCCTGGTTCGACCTCTCGAGCGATCCGCGTGTTGCGCGAGTGCGCGCTGCGCTTGATATTGCGGGTCTGCCGTCCGACGAGGACGAGTCGACTGCTCGCGAAACGCTGCGCCGCCTGTCCGGGATCGACGCCTTTTGGGATGCCGTCGACGAGCTAGTCATGCGCGACGCGGCCAGACGACGTGCTGCGAGGGTTTGCGAGGAGCTGGCGCAGCACCTATCTCAGCTGCTTGGCATGCTCCTCGACCAGGACGGCTTGCTGAGTGGAGTCAGGCCAAACGCGGATGATCCAGAGTGGCGTGCCGACGTGCAACGCACCTCCGTGGCAGCTAAGGGGACTCTCGATGCGGCGCTAAACGCGATGCAGTCCGAGTGCTCCGACGCGATCGCAGAGTCTGCCACGCGGATGCAGGAGGGGCTGACGGAGCTGGTCCTCGAGCTTCAGAAGATGTGTGCCGGGGGATCCACCGTCGACCAGCTCTCAGCTCGCCTGCAGCAGCGCTTTGCCGAGTTGCAGCAGACGCTTGCCCCTCACCAAGCATGGGAGGGGGCGGCAAATAAGATGCGAGACCATCTCGAGCGTGCAGGTGAGCAGCTGGCCGAGCTGCTTCGAAAGCACTTTCCCGGCTCCGTCCACTCGCTGCTGCTTTCGTCTTCGCAGCTGCAAACGCCGTCGGTCACCAACGTGCCCTCAAGTATCACGACGCCTAACGTCGAGAGAAACTTGGTGGCCGCTGTTGCAAAAGCTGTGCTCCCGAAAATCGCTTTCGGCGTGGCGCCCCTCATTGTGGCCACGGTTGCCGGCGGCGGCATTGCGCGGGCACCGTTTATGGAACTGGCAACGGAGATAAAGAAGGTATACGACGCTGGTTGCTCAGCCTACCAGGCCGAGGCCGGACGCAACCTGCCTGCGGAATGGATGCGACTGTGCGAGGAGGCGAAGAGCGGGTGGATCCAAGACTTTGAGCGCGGTCTTCGTCGCCAGCTGGAGGCCTGGAGGCGGCAGGTGAGAGCAGCTGTTGTCAGTCAACTCAATAGCTGGGTCGATGGCATCGAGGCAGCAGCCAGCCTGCCCCCCGATCAGCTGCAGCCTTCCCGGGCTAACATCCGTGCCGCCGGCGAGCAAGGACAGGTACTGCTGTCGGATGCTGTCGCGTTGCTGGACCGCCTCAGCGGCAATATGGTCTCGGATGGTGCAGAGATCGACATTGTGCGCCTTGGTGCTCGCGTGCGACGGCTGAAATCGAGTGCCAAACGATGGCTCGACATCGATCTGCAGCTGGCCGATCCCTCAGAGGAAGCGGCGCGTGAGCGACGGGAGGATACCCAAAGGCAAACCACAGACAGCTACGCCTTTCTGGCATCGGTCCTGACGACTGAGCTCCGGCGCCATGGCTCGGAGCTCGAGGCGACTCAGACGCTACGAGCGCCATCAAGCCGCCCGCAGCCCCCGCGTGGCGCTCCTCGTCCCACGGCTGCAGCGCAGGAGATCGCACGGCACGCGCTCCTGGCTCGGCTGAGCGACGAGGTATACTCTCGACACGACACGGGTGAGGTGCTCTTCTTGAAGAGTGCCGACAACTCGAGAGTCGACGAGCAGGTGGAGGTGCTGCACTTCAGCTCTGCTGGCGGCGGCACCTGGAAGGTGCCGCAGTGGGCAGTCTTCCGTACCGCAGGCCGCGCCGACGGCGACTTTGTGGCTCTCGTCTTCAAGGGCACCGAGGCCCCGACCGAGTGGCTGGTTGACGCTGCGTGTGTGTCTCGCGAGGCCGGCGGCGGGCTGAAACTCCACGCCGGCATCTCTGGCAACTTGCGATCGCACATCGAGGCTGTGGAGTCCGCGGTCGCCCGCTCGACGACAGATGCCGGCGCTCTGCCGCTCTACTTCTCCGGCCACTCGCTCGGAGGCGCGTACGCCATGTGCGCCTTCTACATGGTTGCGCCGACTCTCTCGCAGCGGGTCGCCGGCGTTGTCGGATTTGGTGCACCGCTCGTGACCGTCGCCGGAGGCCCGCCCGAGATTGTGCAGGCGGCAAGCCAGCGCTTCTCGACCTACGTGGCGGGCAACGATATTGTGCCGCGCTCCCTGTTCAAGCCGAATGCCGAGAAGATGGTCGATCTAGCGCGCCGCTTTGGCAGGGGTCGGGTGCTGCTTTCCATCTCCAACGCCATCCCGACGTACGATCCGGTCGGCGAGTTCCGGGCGCTTCCGGGTGCGATCCAGCGATCTCCTACGGAGCTGCTGCGGATTCGGCCAGATGCGCCGCTGACGTCGCACATCGACGACCACGCGTGCCGCGGCTATGCACGACTGCTTGATGAGTGCGCACTCGAGCTGCTGGCGAGTGCTACGTCCACGCCGACGGCACCGGCACCGTCACCGACGGAGGAGGCGGCGCTGGTGATGTCGGCGGCGGCAGCGGTGACAGCGGCAACAGCAGCGTTGGCGGAGGCAGATGCGCGGATGGCGCGGACGGCGTCTATCGAGGCTCCTTTCCCGACGGCGCAGCAGGGGCTGGCGCAGGCGATCGAGGCGTCGGAAGCACGGTCGCAGGCGGCTGAACATCGCAACCTGGCGCACGGCATCGAAGAGTCGCTTCGAACTGACGGCTCGTCCCCCTTCGCTTCGGCCGCTGCCACCGGCGAGGCGGGCTCAATGGGCTCCTCCATGTCGACTTCCGCGGCCGAGTCCGCGTCAACGGTGCACGCCTCCCCGATGAGCTCTCCTCGAGGGCGTGCAATGGCGGCGCTTCTCGAGGAGGCTAAGCTCACCGCGTATGCGAGTGTGCTGCACGATGCCGGATATTCTGAGCTGACTGACCTCAGAGAGGCCGACGACGTAGACCTCGGCAAGCTCGGACTCAAGAAACCCGAGATCAAAAGATTGCGGCGCTATCTTGAGGAGCAGATCTGAAACTGTGGTGGCCCGACCACTGGGCCGTAGCCCGTACTTTATCAAGTACGTACGGTAAAATGCATGAACCAGACCTGTGCATATCGTGTGTGTGTACAAGTAGAGGGCAGCTCGCTGGAGCTGGTAAAGCCGTACAGGAGTACAGATGCTGCAACCACGACCCCTCGATGAAGCGAACGCGCGAACGCAGGCAAAGAGAGAGGTGGTCGAGGCACTGCGGTCCTCTGAGGTCTGTCTGTCTGAGCGACGTCCCACCCAGTCTGCAGTCAGTGATTCATTGCTTTGCCGTCACTGGCAGCACCGAGCAGGCACAATGTGTGAATGATGCGACAGGTCAAGGTCCCTATCGTACACACAAACCCTTGCTGAGCTGTGTCCATGTGTACGGCTTTGCGGCGCGGAATACCGGATATGGTGTGCGGAAAAGCTGTTAGTACGGGGCTATGGCTTACAGTAAGCAGTGCGCGAGCCCAGCATCACCCGACTTCAGGCGAGGCGTCGACCAGCTGCACTTGTCGTCCATAGGTGGCGCGCGGCGCGGGCGGATGACTAGCAAGGGGAGAAAAAGCGGAGATCCTAGCTCGCTGGGACGGGAGACGTGTGCCCCCACACCCCTGCGTCGCGGTCCCCGCACATGCGACATGGCACAAATCAGCAGCACATCAGACGAGAACATGTCATAGACCGGCACGTAGGCAAAGTCAAGGTGTGGCCACCAGACTCATTCGGCCTGGAGCGGTTATAGGCGTCGAAGCAAGCCGTGCCGCGACCTCTCACGCGGAGGTCGACGGGGCGCCGGGCGCCTCGAAGGTGTCCTTCAGCAGGTCCCACGCGTCATCGACGATCCAGTCGCCTGCTCGCGGGAGCGCGCGGGTGACGTATGTGGGTGTGTGCTAGGGCGTGTGCTAGTGTGTGGGGCGCGTGCTAGGGCGCGCCCATGTAGCCACAGAGGTTGAGCGTCGGCTTCGAGTAGTTCCGCACGGGGAAGGCCTCGAGGTAGTACGGGAAGGGGTCGGTTTTGATGCAGCACGTTTTGTAGGCCTTGAAGTTAAAGCACGAGGTCGAGCCGAAGGAGGCCTCGTGGCCCGGGCAGCAAAGGAGCTGGAGGAGATCCGTTTGCGTGAAGAGGTCCACGCCGGAGGCATGCCCTGGGTTGAGCTGCGGGTTCGCGTTGACCTCGTCCTTCCAGTTCTTAGGCTGATCGAGCACGACCACCGTGAGGTCGACGTCCTTCTGGTCTTTCTTGGTCCCGAAGTACGGGTTGTCGAGCACCTTTAGGCCCTGAAAGGGGTTTGGTGGCGGGGGGCTGGGCGCGCAGAGGGATAGATAGGGGTAAAGCAAAGGGCGGGAGCGAGGCGGGGCGAGGTACCTTGAGGGTGCCAGCGATGGCCTTGCCGCACTTGTGGCGGTCATCGAACTGCGTGACGAGCAACTTGTAGGGCGTCATCGCCTCGAGATCGACTCTGGTGTAGGGCTTGCCGCTCTTCGGGAGCTTGTTGACGATCGGCAGCATCGCGTCGACGTCAAAGGCCCCGGCCGTGTTGTCGAAGATGTGGGCCAGGAGGTAGAACGGCGCAACCCCCGCATCGACGACGTTTCCGAGCCCGAAGCAGTCCGTCGCCGACGTGTTTAGGTAGTACGAACAGGTGTTGCGCAACCCGTGGCAGAGCTGCGGGGTGAGCCCGTTGGAGGGGGGGGCTATCGCGCCATACTTGAGAGCGGCCGGCGGCTCTTGGTACACGATGCCAAAGAGGGCGGCCAACTCGGGCTTGATGACCTTTCTTTGGTCATTGAAGAAGTCTTTCACGTAGGGCGCGCTGATGTTTGTGAGGATGGAGACCACCTGCGGCGGAGGCAGGGGGGCGGCAGTCGAATGCTCGCGCTGCAAGCGGCGAGAGCGCCTCCCATCAGCTCGCCTTGCTCGCCCCCTTGGCGACGGCGGAGGTGACCGCCGTGTTGTCGAGCAGTCCGCCGTCCGAGAAGAGGACAGTCTCGGAGGCGTCGGCCGGATTTGTGCGGATCTTGAGCGACACCTGTTCATGCCGGGACGCTCCTGAGCAGACAGCGTATACCCCCCCCCCCCTTTCGGTACTGAGCGGCGCGCGTCGAACTCGCGCAGGGGGCAGCAGAAGAGGCTGCCGACGCAGGGGCAGAGGCCGCAGCAGAGGCCCGGCAAGACCACCGCGGGAATACCGAATGCGTCGCCGCCCATGCCGATCGTGGTCTCAGGCGAGAGGTGAGGCGCGCCAGGCGAGTGGCCGTACGGGACAAAGTCAGGCGCGAGCACGAAGTCCTCGTTCTGCAGGGGGGGGCAGTCGGGGGGGGGGGGGGGGGGGGGGGCCCCAAAAAAAAACCCACCGGGGGGGGGGGGGGGGGGAAAACCCCCCGGGGGGGGGGGCCGTAAAAAAATTTTTAAAAAAAAGGGGCCCAAAGGTCTTTTAGGGGGAGGGGGAAAAATCCCCCCCCCCCCCGAAGTTCCCCCCCCCCCAAAAATGCCTCTTTAAACCAATTGTTTTGCCCACGGGGGCCGCCGCAGATCATCCACATCCCCACGGGCGGGATGACGACCTTGCTGCTGCCGTCCTTGTTCACCGCAGTGTACTTGGTCTCGACAGAGCCCGGGGTGAAGACCTGCGGCGGGGGCGGCAAAGTGACGAGACGGGCGGCAGAGGGTCGCTGAGGAGCGATTGGGACCTGCTTCCCCGCGTGCGTCATCGTGTGTGTCCTGGCATCTACGGCTCCACACAAACGGCACGACGGAGATTCCGAGCGCGTTGCCGGGCTGTGCAAACTTGTACTCCTTGTACTCGCTGATCCCTGTCGTGCCCCACTGGAAGTCAAGGGCCTGCTTGACGCCCTCGCCCAGCTGGAGCTCGTAATCAGCAGACAGCAGGTCCGGATCCCGCGAATTCAAGTCCACGAGCGCAGTCGGGTTGGCCTCTTGCCGCTGCTGGCCTGCCTCGAGGGGGCGCTTGGGCACAAACGGGTCGTTGTTTTTCGCCATCTTCTTTGAGATCTCTACAGACTCGTTCCACGCCTAAAGGCAGATGCAAGGGTGGTGGGTGGTGGGGTGAAGGGTTGGTGGGGGGGGGCGTGTGCCTCGAGCGGCGGCCAACAAAGCAGCGAGTGCATGAGTGTGGTGGAGGCTGCTCCCAGTCTCCTCTCGGACGGGGCGCCTTGACGAGCCAAGTGTACAACGGGCCGGTGTACTGGTAGGGGCTCACATTGCTCAGTGAGGCCTACACGAGCAGAGGCCCCGTCATCAGCCCCTCCTCGCTGTGCCCCCCCTCCCCTCTCCCCCGCATGCGATGCTGCACCATGGTCGAGATGCCCACGGGCGTCGGCGACTCCTTCCGCGGCCAGACGTATTCCTTCTTCTCGCTCCCCACCTCGGCGGCGGCGAGGAGCGTGGCCTCCTCCTGCGGCGGACGAGCACGGGGGGCACGAGGCGGGGTCAGCGTCTACGAGGATGGGTCAGCTACGCACACGTCGTGAGGCGAGGGTGAGGGTTTGCGCGGGCGCCTCGCTGGCTGCCGTGTACATGCCCTTTTTGATGCCGATGGGGTCGAGAAGGGTGTGCCACATGAACTCGATGAAGATGGCCGGGTCGCCGCAGGCGAGGGGCCAGCGCGCGCGGAACGGGCACTTTCCGCAAGTGAGGATGCGGTACGGAAAGCCTGTGGGGGCGAGGGACGGGTGTGGGCAGTCTGCCCCCCTCTCTGTGCGAGGGGGAAAGATGAGAGTGCGATTCGCAAGAGAGGCGCGCCCAGGATGCCCGCCATGCAGAGCCAGAAGACGTCGGGGAAGCAGCACTGCGACTGGCACGCCTCGGTGCCCGCGCAGCACAGGCCGGGCTGGTGCAGGATGCTTCCATACGAGCCGTACTCCTTGCTCACCGGCTCGAGCCGCTCCATGCAGGCGGGCGTGATCTCGCAGGGGCGCGTCACGCGGGAAGTCTCGAGATATTTGGCCGGGTCGCACTGGGAGTAGCAGTACCTACTCGCGGCAAGGTGGAGTGACGACCGTTTATGGGCGATGGCGGTGGAGGCAGCAGTAGCGTGCATGGTGGACGCGAGATAGCCACCCGAAGCGCCAGAGATGATGTCGAAGTTGTCGAGCGCGTTCTTCGAGCATGCATCGGGTCGGCGCTGCTCCACCTCCTTCTTTGCAAAGCCTCGAAAGACGCCCAGCATCTCAGCGGGCGGCACCAACCCGCCGCCGGTGACACAGAGAGCGACGTCGACCGAGTCGTCTCGCGGCTGGATCGCAGCCTTTTTGGCCTTACCCTCTTCGCTGCGCTTCTTAGCGAGGTACTCCGGGCTCGGGCGGAGCAGGGTGGGCTTGGGAGGCATGGGAGGCATGGGAGGCATGGGCCGAGGCGGTGCGGCTGCTGCTCGAGGGCGGGGCGACGAATGGCGGCGGCGCTTCCGCGCTGTATTTTGCTTCGCGAGCCAGGCAGGGCAGATTGAGTGCGCCCGGCTCCTTTTCGAGGCTGGCGGCGTCACGCCGCTGTCCATCGCGAGCGCTCAGATCTGTCTTCTCAACTCTGTTGATAACAACTTTTGTCTACTCGCTGCCCGGCGTAGGGCCCTTAGGGGCCTAGAGAACACGGGCTTCCCTCTCCCTTTTCTAGTAAGCTACTTTGTTTTGTTTTGTTGTAAGCTAAAAGTACGTACACTGAAAAAAATCATAGGAGTTAGGACAAGTTTACGCGAACGCGGTGTGTGCGGAGCTGGTGCGGAGTCAAAACGCACGCCGCAGCACTTACCGATTAGCGTTCCACGCGGAGCGTGAGCCGCGCGATGCCGATGGAGGCGTGAGGTAAGGTAAGGTAAGGTAAGGTAAATTTCTCCACACACACAAAGTGGTGGGGCAAGGGGGGGCGACCCTCGCATCTCCACACCCGGACACGGGCAGGAGCCCCACGGCATTCAAAGTGCAAGCACTGGCCCGGTGCACGTGGGTGAGCAGCCTGCCCCTCCCTCCCGACAAACCAACTCCCGCACACACACAATCGCACTCTGGCCATCGAATGACTCCGAATGACTCACTGTGTGTGCTAAGACAGAATCTCCGCAGACATCCAAAACGGGCCGTGCCGCGTTTGTGGTGTCCTCTCAAGCACTAGCATCTGGGCGCCGCACTCGAGTGGGCGGGTCACATCTATGTGGGCCCAGTGCGCACTAGGCGCATATGCTAGTGCTATCCTGCCCTATGGGAGGCAGAGGGATGGGGGGAGGGGGGGGCAGAGGTAAGGTGGGGTGAGACTGGGGAGGACCTCAGAGATCCTCCATGGGGGTGGTGGGGTCCGGCTCGAAAAGGTCAAAGTGCTCGATGCCGGTCCCGCCATCGCCGCCGACGCCGTCCCCCTCGTCCGCCTCGGAGGCGGGGGTCGTCGGGCGGGGCGCCTCGCCCGTCGCGAACCTGCCGCCGAACACGGCGTCGGCCGGCGCCGAGGCGCCGGCAGCCGTGATCAGGTCGGCGACCTTTCGGTCCCTGCAGGCCGCATCAATTTTGCCGCTCCGGGACGGCTCGTAGAGCTCGTTGGCGAGCCAGTCCCGGGCGACCTTCGTCGCCACGGAGCCCAGAGGGACCGTGGCGTACACCAGGTCGCCGAACCCGCTGCCCCCCTCGGGAGGCAGCGAGTAGGCGACCTGAATATTGGACCCGCTGGGGTTGCGCGCCGCCTGCGCCGCAGCCCCCAAGCCCTCCATCACGAACTCGACGTTCTCGCGCAGCTGCGCGTGCGGGTAGTCCGCACGCTCGGCCTCGCTCGCGGCCGCCGCCGCAGCCTTCCTCTCCGCCTTGTTCGCCTTCTGCCGGGCCTTTTTGGCGTGAGGCGACCATATCCCCCCATGAATCGTCCGCGCCGATGAACGATGTGCGATGCGGCTGTTTGCATGCATGAGGACCCAACTTGCTAACCACACATGCATGGCGCGCGGTGCGATCCACGGCGCCCCGGGGCCTCACAGTAATTTACTCACGTCCATCTTCTCTCGGCGCTGCGCCTGCGGCGCTCCACACAGCGCGCCGGCGCTCGCAGTTCCCCGCCGGAGCTCCGCACACGCTCACACCTCACAGGAGGTTCTCCTGGTACCACTCCTCGCTGGCCTTGGTCGGGCCGTACAGGAAGGAGGTCGGCCCTCGGAAGAGGACGAGCTTGGTCGCACTGTCATCGCTCGCCTGGCCAGCGGCGGCGGGGCGGTGAGACTACCCGAGAGAGTACGAGCTTGGGGCTGTCGTCGCTAGCCTGCCCGCGGCACCGATGCGATGAGGCGCCGTCCCGCAGATGTGGACAAGACCGGCCTCAGCGACATCTAGATCTCGGCGAGATCTCGACGGGATCTCGGCGGGATCTCAGCAGACCTTGATGGCATCTAGCGTCGCGTCGAACTCCCATCCCAGCACGAGCGTGCTGCCGACGGCGACCTGCGGGCGGCGGGGAGGGGGGAGGGGTGGGTGGAGGGGAGGGTGGAGGGGAGGGCGGCGGTAGATGGCGGCGGTGAGGGCAGCGGGGAGGGTCGGCAGGGAGGGAGATGGAGACGGTGCGACAAGACACGCAGGCAGAGCGATGAGGAGGAGGTGGTGGAGGAGCAGGCGGAGAAGGGCGAGGAGGAGGAGGCGGAAGCAGAGGCGGCGCGGGCGAGGAGGAGGAGCAGGCGAGGCAGGCAGGAGAGGAGGAGGAGGCGGAGGAGCGCACCAGCTGATCGCCGCGCGCAAGCACCGGACTCGCAGAGGCGGCGGAGCCAGAGTCAAGCACCTGGGCGGCGGGATGGCGACGGTTGGCCACTGGGCATCGAGCAGGCGGCGGCGGCGGAGGCGGCAAAGGCGGCGGCGGCGGCGGCAAAGGCGGCAAAGGCGGTGGCAGAGGCGGCAGCAGGGGCGGTGGGCGAGGCGAGCCGGGTGAGAAAAGACCGCCGAGAGTGCGGCGGCAGCGGGGGGGGGGGGGGAGCGGTGTGTGGGGCGGCGGCAGAGTCGGAGCGGCCCCACGCGCCTCGTCGACAAACACGCCGCCGCACCCGCCCTCGTTCTCGACAAAAGCGATCCCCATCGGCTTGACGAGTGAGAGCGAGACATAGTTGCTCGCGTCGGAGGGGTCGACGTACGTCACGTCCTGATCGACGCCGTCGTTGAGCTCCGCCTCGAGGTCCTTGTCCAGGCCCAGCCACCGGTCGAAGGGCGTCACACGGTCCGCCGCAACAAGCGGCTTGTCGCCGCCGCCAAACGCATCCTTGACGCCGTCGAGGAGGCCAGCCACAGCTGGCCGCGCGCGGACCGCGCCCGAGCGGGACGCAGGCGCGGAGAGAGGCGCGAAGCCGACGAAGCTGGTGCTGGCGAGAGCGAGCATGTATGAGGGCGAGGAGCGAGGGAGGCTGCCCACACAAAATGGGAACTTGCCGAGAAAGTACCGGATTCGGGTCTATTTGGGTAGGGTGCCGAGCTTGCTTTGTTCTGAAAAACCTCGCAGCCGCTTCCGCGCCGGACGCTGCTTTTGATTCTGTGGATCAATTGCAACTGCCGGCGGCAGACACGTGGCCCGCGCGATGTCGGCTGCTGCGGCTGACGCTGTGAAACGCACCTCAGAGGAGGCGCTCGCGTGGCTTACTGCGTATCGCCGGGACGCCAACCAAAGACGCAAGGGCACGAGCGGCGGGCCTCCTTGGACGCTGCAAGAGGACTGGCAGCTCGTGTGGGACGTCATGTTATGCGGGCAGCTGGCCACAGAAGTGACCATCGTGGACTCGAGCCACACCGTCCGAACGGAGGGCATGAAGAGCTACCGCAAGGATGTTCTGCGCCGCGGTGGACTGCGTCCGCTTGAGTTGAGATGGCAACAGATGTTGCGAGCGGGAGCGGGCTCGCCGATGCCGCCAGTGCGGTCGACCTCCGATCTGAGCCAGAGCCCGAGCCAGTCCCAGTGGACCAAGCTCACGCAGTGGACGCGGAGGACGCTCGCGGGCCGCCACTCTCCTTTGCGAGCCCCCTCTCTCTCGGCGCTCACATATCCAACGCTGCCACAATGGAGCGTCCCGAGAAGCAGGCCTTTCCCGGCCGACCGGACGACTGGATAAAGGCGCAAAACGACTGGGCGGAGTACGTGAGCTACCCTGACGAGCGGGAGATGCCACAGTTCTTTCCACGAACCTTGCGAGACGAACACGACCAGGTCCGGAAATTACGTGCCGAGTTGTGGGTTGTCTACAGCAAGCGAGCCGGCCCGCCGAAAGAAGGGAGCCGCCGGTCGCGAAACGCCCTCGTCACCAACAACGAACTCACCATCAACGTCGCAACCTCGAATCACGCGCTTCACACCCCCTTCAGCACCATCGTCGACGCCATCTCCACCGCCGCCGCCAACTCCTCCGCCGCCGACTCCTCCGCCCCCGCCCTACCCGCCACTGCTCCCACCTTCCGCCTTTCCCTCAGCCCCTCCGCTGCCGCCTGTGCCGATGCCCCTGGTGCCTCTGATCAAACCCGTGGAGCAGGCAAACGGGCGCGGGTCCTCACTGACAAGGCGCGGGAGGCAAAGCAAGGCAGGGGCGGCGGCGGTGGCAGCAGCGGCGGCGGCGGTGGCAGCAGTGGTAGCTGCAGTAGTGGCGGTGGCGATCTGCCATCCTCCTCGATCGACGCCGCACCCTCGCCGCCCGACACATCAGTCGCCCAGCAGCAGCCAGGGGCGGCGGGGGGAGAGGACAAGGTGGAGGCGGAGGTGGAGGAGGCGGCGGAGAGTCGATGCCCACCTCAGCAGAGCAGCAGAGCTTCAAAAGGTCCAACAGGCGAGACCAGTGGGCGACGGGAGACGACAGTGATGAGGTGGAGGTGGAGGTGGAGCAGGAGGAGTCGGAGGCAGAGGAGGCAGTGGCGGAGAAGGAGGCGGAGGCGATGAGCGAGGATGAGGTGGAGGAGGTGGCGCCGCCGCTTCAACGCTCCGCCGCTGTCGCTCCTTCTCTCGAAGGCGGCGACGCGGTGCAGATCTCTGCCGTTGCAGGCGCACTCTAGACCTTTGGCTTTCATTGCTAGTCGCCGGCCCCTTCTTCATTCTTTCGTGGAGAGAGAGAGAGAGAGAGAGAGAGAGAGAGAGAGAGAGAGAGAGAGAGAGAGAGAGAGAGAGAGAGAGAGAGAGAGAGAGAGAGAGAGAGAGAGAGAGAGAGAGAGAAGTCAAGCTAAAAGATGGACACAGCTGCGCAGCCGCTTCCACAGCTGTGCTGTGAACAGAACCCGCAGGGGTTCACAGAGTCGGCAGATTGCAGCGGCAAAGAAAGAACCGCGCGCGAAACTTGGAGCACTTGGAGTGCAGTCATCAACCTCACATCCAGGGCCGGGGAGCTGAGAAGCGCACCCAGCGAGCCGGATGATCGGCATCGGGCTACGGGCTAGAGAGCCCTGACCCCTAGCTAGGGGGGGGTGCGCATTCGCAGGGCAAGGGCCTTAAAGTAAACACGGGTCTCCGAGGGTTAGCTCCGCGCTCCAGGTTTCCCCTAGCAGCAGAACGCCCCCTCTACTCGGAGCTAGTAAACACTCGACACGGACTCGACGCCCATCCACACCCGGCACCTCACCACACCGGACCCCTCTTCGAGGTCTCCCAACTTTCACTCCGGGGCGTCTTCCCCCACCTCTGGCAAACTTCTTTTTCTCTTCTGAACGTGCCCGCAACGGGGAACGAGGTGGCGCTTCGCGTCCGTCGTCGAAGTCGTCCGTTCGACTATGCTCCAGACCGTCGGTGCAGGAGGGGCGTCCCCCGACCCGGGCCTCCTGCGCCCGCGTCGGAACAGCAAGCCCATCGAGCGCTTTACTTCAACGGACAAGCTCCGAGTCCACGCAACGGGCTGCCGCAAAAGTGCGGCGCCGCCACCGCCCGTGGTGGAAGCCGTGGTGGAGTACCCGCCTGAGGTGGGGTGCGATTGGACGCAGCCGCAGCACTTCGCTGGTTTCCTAGCAGCTCTCCCGAATATGGACGCAGAGCAGCTTGCATGCATCCGCAGCTCCTTGCCAGACTCCGAACCCGACAACGGCACGACCTCGAGTCCGGCCCTTCCCGTCCCCTTCAGCAACAGCGCCATCGCCGGCGCCATCTTCAACGCCGCCGGCCCCTCCGCCCCCGAATACTCCACCCCCGCCCTACCCGCCGCCCTAGCCGTCACTGCCCTCGATGCCCTCGATGCCATCGGCGGTGGAGCGGGCAACGAGGGTAGCGCGGAGATGTCGCGAATGCAGCTCGATGTCGCGGGTGCTGACGAGCACGTTGCGCAGCAGGGTGCCATCGGAGAGCAGCTTCGTGCAAACCAGAGTGCGTCGACAGAGTTGACTGCGCAGCAGTGCCATCCAGCCGGCGATCTGCCATCCTCCTCGATCGACGCCGCACCCTCGCCGCCCGACACATCAGTCGCCCAGCAGCAGCCAGGGGCGGCGGGGGGAGAGGACAAGGTGGAGGCGGAGGTGGAGGAGGCGGCGGAGGTGGAGGAGGCGTCGATGCCCACCTCAGCAGAGCAGCAGAGCTTCAAAAGGTCCAACAGGCGAGACCAGTGGGCGACGGGAGACGACAGTGATGAGGTGGAGGTGGAGGTGGAGCAGGAGGAGTCGGAGGCAGAGGAGGCAGTGGCGGAGAAGGAGGCGGAGGCGATGAGCGAGGATGAGGTGGAGGAGGTGGCGCCGCCGCTTCAACGCTCCGCCGCTGTCGCTCCTTCTCTCGAAGGCGGCGACGTGCAGATCTCTGCCGTTGCAGGCGCACTCTAGACCTTTGGCTTTCATTGCTAGTCACCGCGAGCTTGATCTCTCACTTCCTTTGCTCTGCACTGCACAGGCTTGCTGGCCGAGCACCTACCGCACCAGCGTGCGCTCTGCCCGCTCCACCCCTTCCATGCGGCCGAGAGGCCGATCGCGGCGCCTGTCGACGGCAACGAGGCGACTTGCCCCAACTGCTACTGCCTTATCTGCGACGCGCGCGTGTCCGAGTGCCGCCATTGGCGGGGGGGCGACGCCCCTGCGCACTGCAACGCGCATAGCAACAGCGTACTCTGGCGCCAGAAGCGCGTCAATGCGAAGCGGCAGCGCACGCGGGCGGTGCGGGCGGCGCAGGTGTCGGCCAATCAACAGCCCGCGCAGCCTTCTCGGTCTGGTCTGAGGAGCGGGCATGGGTCTCGGCTAGCGCAAGAGGGGCGGCGTCACCTTTAGTGTACGTTAACGTGTTTAAAGCCGTTCGTCGACAGGAGGTAAGGTAAGGTAAGGTAAGGTAAACTTCTCCACACCACACGAGAGGTGCAGGTGGTGGGGCAAGGGCGGGGGCAACCCTCGCGTCTCCACGTCTAACGACAGGAGCCCCACGGCATTTAAAGTGCAAGGCCCGGTGCGCGTGGGTGAGCGGTGTGTGTGTGTGTGTGTGTGTGTGTGTGTGTGTGTGTGTGTGTGTGTGTGTGTGTGTGTGTGGAGGGGTGGAGGGGTGTTTTAGGGCCTCCCCACCCGTGAGAGCGTGTCATAGCGTTTGATAATTAGAAACGGTCACACACGCTCTCACGTGGCACCGCCACAACGCACAAGGTTGGGTGCGAGAGGGCAGCTGCTAGTCAGCATGACTTCAGGACTGGCTACTCTTGGGATGCTGTGGCCAGCTGGTGATGCCCGCAACTTGCCGCAGAGAGCCTGCTACGAACGTGTGTACATGCTGTGTCCCCGCCCTACCTGCGGGTGCTCCTGTACACTATCGCCTCTTCCTCGTCACTCGACTCGTCGCTCGGCTCCTGCTTTGCGGCCGAAGGGGAGGCTTCCCCCCGCTCGCTCCGCCTTGACGCCCCAGCGCTGCGCAGCTGCAAGCCGTCCGGCTCAAAGTCCCTCGCCTCAAGGTCCCTAAGCTTTGCCTTAAAGGAGAGCTCCGACTGGAGCTCCCTCGCTGCCTGTGGGTTCTCCGGGGCACCCTTCTTTTCCAAGTGGTCGGCGAGGGCTCGGAGCTCGCGAATGCGCACGGCCGTCTCATCCACGCCCAAGCCGGAGATCTGAAGCGTGACCGCCCTGGCTGCAAGGTCATCCACGGGCGCTACAGCCGGCCGCTTTCTCGCGGGGTGAGCTCCGTTGTGCGAGCCTCCCACCTCTACGCTGCGCTCAAACGGCGGGGTATGGGTTTCGCTGGAGGTTGACGCGAGGGAGGAAAACGACGGGCGAGCAGCAAGAGTCGTGTCCAAATCCGTCAGCAGATCCGGCGTCAAGCCATTGTCGAGGGTCAGCGGCGCGTTGCGCCCCTGCCCCTCGTGCTGCGTAGGCGTAGCAGCGTTGGGCTGCAGCGCCGTGGGTTGGTTGCTTCTGCCCTTTGGCACAAACGTCTTGTACTTCACGGCGAGCCTTAGCTTGCCGTCATCTGCTGTGGGAATTTCCCAGCGCGACGGAAACGGCGGCGAGCCAGGGACCAAAATCACGAGCGCGCCATCTTGGCTCACGTCCTTGTGCTTTGGGCCATCCTTCCAGGTGCGCCCCTCGGCTTTGCTCAGATCACCGCTGTCATTGACGAGCAAGTACTGAAATCTCTCCGCATAACAGGCCGGTGCATCGCGAAAGCCGTCGTTGGATCCACCCTTTTGTCGGAGCGCCAGAAGCTCATCACGCGGAACGCGGCGGACAATGCTCCGATCGACTGCAAACCCGTTGTCTTTGCATCGCACGCAAACGCGCTCCCACGGCTGCTTGCCCGCGGACACAGCTGGGCCGGGGCCATGCTGTCCTCTCTCGAGGCGCTCGTCTGCCGCAGCAAGACACGTTGCGCCTAACCGCTTCGCAAGACACTCGCTGTGCGCCATGCACATCTGGGCCGTCCCGTCCGCCGCTGCAGATGCCGGGTGGCGTTTTTCTTCTTGTCAGGACGCTCGAAAGGTCAGAAACCTTCTCTAGCGGAGCACGAAATCTGTCCAAGGACCTAGGTTCCGCTGGCAATGGGTCCTCCCCATTCATGGTTCCCAATTTCCTCCGTCTTCGGGAGTGAAAACAGCGGCCAACGTCGGTGGCGTTGGCGGGGGAGATTTCGCACAGGTGGGAGTCGTCAGCGCAGTAAAGTCGTTCGCACAGTTGGTGTAGCAGTTCCCGGCCATTTTCTTGTCGAGCACGGAGTCTCCGCAAAAGCTCAAACAATCGCCCGCTACCCCATAGCTCCAGTGATTCGTGGTATCTCCGCTGCGAATTCTCCGCTGCACTCGTCATGGCAGTTGATGCATTGCCAGTAGGCCTCCATCGCGTCGGTCTGCATCATGAAGGTGTTCCCCTGTGTGTCAACGAAATCGCTCGGCTGGTACCCATAGCCGTCTTGGCCGTTAGCAGGTTGCTGGTACAGCTCCAGCGCCTTGGCTTGGTCGGTCAAGAAGATGATGTCCGACATGTCGTTGCTATTTTGGAACGCCCACGTTTGGCCCTGCGGGTAGGTCACAACACCGCCGCTGCAGGACGCGTCGGACGACAGCTCTCCCACAAAATAACTGCGGCATGCGTAGCCAGTACAGCCCGAAGGGACATCATATATCGTGGCAACGTACTTTCCCCGCCCGAACTGCGGGAACAGGCTGCACCATGAAGAGTCAGGATCGGGGCTATGAATGCTCAAGAGCGCAGCGAGCGGTCCACAGTACTCGGACGTATCCATTTGCTGCCCGACGCAGCACGCCATCGTTTCGATGTCGACGCAGACCGCTGTGGCGAGTCCGACAACAGCCCCTAGCGCCTTGGCGGCCGTTGCCGCGCTTGTCGGCGCGACGCATTCCTCCAAGTTTTTCATGAGTACCTCGTTCGTGGCGCCGTTCGCAATGGACTTGAGCTCGCTGACCCAGAACCCTGTAATATCGCTGCCTCTGCAGGCTGGGCACGCCATTTTGATCGCGGCCGTTATACCGCCTGCCACGACCTCGGTTGCCACCGTCTGCGCGGTCGTCTGAACGAAACAGTTGCGCACCAGCGTTTTGAGATTCGCCGACAGCTTCCTCAAAAACACGTTCTTCAGGTACTGCGGCTTGGCCAACACCTTTAGCAGGTCCGCGGCACTGCTTTTGGGCGCTGCGGCGAGATCATCAGCAGCACTTTCCACAGCGGTATCTGCCTCTTCGCCCACGGCTTCGCCAAGGTTTTCTGATGCAGTCTCCACAGCATCCTCGAAGCCTTCACCAATCAAATCCGTCATGGCTTCCGCAGATGCTTCGCTCAAGTCAGTGACAAACTCGGAGCTCGATGACACCAAATCCACTGCACCAAGTTCACCTGACGCAGCGCTCGCATCGGCAGCAGCTGCCCCCACATCCGCACCCACCTCAGAAGCTGCCTCGAATACTCCGATGACTATTTCAGCGAGGATGGCTAGCAGCCCAATCTTGATAACTGCCGTGTGCCCCTTCACGTTTGGGAATATGTTGGTGTCTTGATCGACGTTTGTTGCCGCCGGGTGATTCACAAAGTGGGAGTGGTGGCTCGAAGACGAGGCTGTGAAGTGGCCGTGCTCCTTGCGGCTCGGAATGTACTGTGGAGAAGTGGGCACATATCCAGTAAGGACCAGGTAGGGCTGGTTTGACCCATTCTCGCTAACAAGCGCCGTCTGCGCTACCGCCTTGAGCTCAAAGTCGATCGTGCGAAGCGCACTCGTTTCGCTCTTACACTTGAACTTGGTGCAGTTGAGATTTGAATCGTCGAATGGCTGGTACACCAGCTTTCCGATTGGCTTGACGTGCTGCATCACCTCATTGCGGCTCTCCGGGTTGACAATCGAATTTCGACGTTGAACTTCATGCCGTGCTGACTGACGCCCTCCAGCCATCGCTCCACGAACTTGTTGGTCTTTACGTATCCGTAGACATCGCCTTGATCCAGATTTGCGATATATTCAACAATATCGTTCGTTGTGCCGTCCTCAAGTGGGATCTCCATGCGGAGCGTGCTTCCGCTCAGCACCACGCGCACGCCAGAGCCAGTGAAGGTGTAGGTCGCCAGGTGATTATTGCGCGAAGAGTCAAACATGCTCGCAAACGAGAGGGTCGCGCACACGACGATCGCGTACATTGGTGCAGTGGGGTGGGGCTCGGCTCCACCTCTTTGTGTCTGCTGCGCACGGCTCGCTAGACAGCTCGGGGCTGACTGCTGCGCAAGTCTGGGGACTGACTGGCACTGGCACTGGCACTGGTGCGCACGGCTCCGGCCCTGCCCGCACCAGAGAGAGAGTGAGCCTACCTACGCAAATTCCTGCGCAGGGGCACGCGCCGTGTTGGCATAGTATTGCCCAAGCTAGTTCTCGGTGAAAAAGTCGGGCCGAGGTCTTCGGCGAGCTCGCTGATGTTCGCGGATGAAGAGAGACTTTTCACATCCCCAGAAGAAAGACTTTTCACAGACCTGTTATTGAATACGTCCTATGGCGCTGTGCGCTGGTCTATGAGAGGTTGAGGTGCGAGCCCTGGAGGCCCTGTGGGGATGGGGGGAGACTACCCGCGGGCCTAGAAGGCCCGCGCGCAGGGGGGTGGAACATTGAGACCGGTCATGGATGAGTGCGCGACACGCATGTTGCGCGCAGCGTTGTTGATGTTCTGCGCGTCGCCACAGGCGGCGCGCGAGAAGTTTGGGAATTCGAATTCTTTTCGACGCCCCAACGGCGGCCTCCGCTGCGAGGGGTCGAAGGGGCCGTACTAAGGGCCGCGGGTAGATGGAGGTCTCCTCATACACGGAGCTGCTGCGAAGGCGCCACGGCCAACCGCCGGGGCTCGCGTCATCGCTCCGCCTTCCGTCCCGCTCGTCCACCGCTGCGCCATCTCCCGCGCCACAGAAGCGGCAGCAGCCGCGACAGCAGCAGCACCCGCCGCCGCGGCGACAGCAGCCGCCAACGCCGCCACCACAGCAGCAGCAGCAGCAGCAGCAGCAGCAGCGGCGGCAGCGGCATCAGCAGCCTGGGTGTGCGGCACACTCAGCTGAGACGCCTCGGCCGCCGCCGCCGCCGCCAACCAAGGTGCCTGCAGCCGCGTCGCAGCTCGCCGCATACGCTGCGCCCGTCTCCTACGCCACCGTGGGGCAGCCGCCAGCGGCCGAGCGGCCGGCCTCCGACGCGACGCCGCTGCGCTCCACGATCCGAGCCGACATTGACCGCCGCGTCAACCGCGCCGCCATCGCCGCGCTCGCTCGCGCCAAGGGGCACTCAAAGGCCGCCGCCGCGAGCCGGCAGCCGGCCGAGCGCGCCCTGTGCGTCGCCGCGCCAGCCACGAGCGCCGCCGCCCCAGCTCCACCGGCGGCTCCGGCGCGCCGGGTGGCTGGAAGGACCGCACGTGAGCGCTGCCGCGGCTGCGTCGAGAGGGCCGCAGAGGCGGCGAGGCTGGGCGATGAGCTCGTCCGCTCTGATTGCGAGTGGCGGAGGATGGTCCACTTGCTGGAAGGGGAGCTGGTCGCCTCGCGCCGCACTGTGACGCGGCTCGAGGTCGAGATTAGCCGAGATTAGCCGAGGTCTTCTGAGATTAGCCGAGATTGGCCGAGATTGGCCGAGATTGGAGGGCGGCGCTAGAGGCGCTGATGCAGGATGGGGGCGGAGTGTCCGGGACACGTCCACGACATGTCCCAGAGCGTGTCGTGTAGGCCGAGCTCGCCACGCACGCGCGTTTGCTGCCGGCGCCTCCCGCTCCCGCTCCTCAGCACGCCCCTCCTCCCCCTCCTCCCCCGCCGCGGCGTCGTCTGCACCGCGGCGCGGAACCGCCACTGGAGAGGGAGGGGCCGCCGTTAGACCGGCCACCGCCAGTGCGACCGCCGCCGGAAGTGCCTCCGCCGCCTCCGATGGAGCGTTCATTGCGAGAGCAGTCGCTGCCAGAGCAGTCGCTGCCAGAGCAGTCGCTGCCAGAGCAGTCGCTGCCAGAGCAGTCGCTGCCAGAGCAGTCGCTGCCAGAGCAGTCGCTGCCAGACTCTTCGCCGCCGGTGACTGCGGCGGCCTGGAGGCGGCACCTGCTCGACGAGAGGCAGGAGGTTGCGGCGCGGGAGGCGCGGGCGCGAGGCGCGGCGGCGGCGGCGGGCGAGGCGGCGGCGGCGGCGGTGGCGAGGGAGGCGGCGTTGGCTGCCGCGGACGCCGTCGCTATGGCGAGAGGCCCTCGCCACCACGGGGAGTGCTTGAGACCGCGCACTCTGGGGCAGCGCCGGGCAGAGTGCGCGGCAGAGGGCGGCGGGGAGGAGGAGGAGGAAGCGCCGCGGGAGCGGGCGCCGACGCAGAGAGCGGCGGCGGCGGAGCTCGGTCTGGGAGATACAGGGAGATATGGGGAGATACGGGGAGATGTGGGGAGATATGGTCTGGAGCCCGAGGCGGCGGGTGGCTGCTCCTACGCGGGCTCGCCACCGTCCTCCTCGCGACGCCGCGCGGGAGCAGCAGAGGAGGGGGGGGAGTGGCGCAGAGGCGGCGGCAGCCCCTCCCTCTTCCCGCCCCCGCAGCGGCTCTGCGCGTGGGGGGCCGCCGCCGCCGCCGGCGCGCCTCCCCTTCCGCCGAGCAGCCTCGCGCCCAAGCCTGAGCCGCCGCCGTTCGGCTTCACCCCTCCTGCGAGGGTGGTGGCGTGGGCGGCGGACGACGCAAGCCGCGACGCCAAGCGGCCGCGCTCCCCCGCCTGGCTGTGCGTGGGCGCCGAGCGCACCGGCGCGACGATGCGCCATCCCGTCGGCCCGCGCGTGCTGCACACCGCCCGCGAGCTCGTGCGAGAGTCGAAAGCCATCCTCTCCGCCGCGCCGCACCCGGCGAGGCTGCGGCCGACCGGGCCCTTCGACGCATGAACAGTGGGTGAAGGGAGTCGCCTCGGGGGAGGGGCGGCGGGCGGTATAGCTCCTTTTTGCCGGACCGTCGTCTCACGCACGGGTTGTTCGACGGGAGATAAAGGTTTTTCTTCTTTCTTCTCAAATTCGTTTGAAGAGTTTTGAGAAGAATCCTCACAATAAAGCCGTAAATTTCAAGAACAAGAGTTTAGTATTAGAATTTAGATGCATCAATGGTTGGGCACACACTACGCCTGTCTTCGTTTCCCAGGGGGAGGTTTTGCGAATCTACAGAGGTGCCCGAAGGGCTGTACGCCATATGTTTTCTTTCCCAGGAGGGGAGGCGGCGTTTTTCTTTTGAATTTGTATATCTTATACGGGCTGGCTATCGTGTGCGAGTGTGGTTTTCCCGCACTTTTCTTCCCCCCCCCCCCCCACCCCACCCCCAGGGTTGTGAAGAGCTACAAGTAACTGGTGGTTTGTGTCAAGAGCGTCTTGGGTCCGGGGTTGTGTGTTTTTATGGGACGTGGGCCGTACTGCTATGTACCGGCCCTATATGCACCCGTGTGTCCTGCCTATGCATTGGCAGGGTTAGACGTCGCGCGAATGCATAGTCCATAGCGTGTCTTATGCAATACGTACCTCGTACGATGTTTTCGCCTTTATGTACATGTATCTGTGTTATGCATTCACGCGCCGCGACGCGCGAGGGTGTGGAGGGCGACGTATTTTGCAAATACGTAAATGTATACGCCCTCGGTATAGATCGGTAAGGATGCATATCACGATGCGAATGCATAGGGGTCGGCGTCCATATACGACATACATAACAGTACGGCCCACGATTGGTTTTTATGTGAAGAGCAGAGGGCGTCTAGGCGGTGGGCTGCGCGCGTGACTAGGTCAAGCCCTGGGTGGTCCAGAAGAAATCCCTCTTGTGCTAGGTCTACATTCTATAGACACCTCCCCGCGCCTCCGGAGCTCGTGGACTGCAGAAGCAGATGGGGCACGACTCCATCCTGGCGGAGCAGGGGCCGCAAGCGCACAAGTGCCCACACGGCCCCGCGACGTGCGAATTTGGGTTGGAGAAGCAAACGATGCACGTAGTCTCGCCGCCCAGGATGAACTCGGCCGAAGGCTGACTTTGCGGCACCATCATCGGACGATGTCGAAGAGTTGGGTCGCTATATCGCGGTAGCCAGACTACCCCTGCCGACCGTGCGGAAGTGCTCCTTCTTGTGGGCCTTCCAGTGCGCAGCTTGGCAGTCCGTGCCACAGTAGGCAACTAGCATGCAGGGACACGCCTTGAAGAGGTTGCTGGCGGGACTTTGGCACTTCTTGCCGCATGCCGCACATGTCAAGCGCACCTGATCGCGCGGGTGGCTGTCTGTCGGATGATAGCGTGCCGCCTTGCCAGCCTCGCGGCGCAACGCGTCGGCGCAATCTTCGGTCGGCAGCGTTTTGATGCTGGTCACGACGGCGGTGGGGTCGGTGCACGCGAGAACGGCTTTGCGGAAGGACGCGACGTCAGGCATGCTGATGGCCTCAAGGAGGCCGCGCTCGGCCCCGAGCCGGCTCTGGAACTGCGGCAGGAGGAGCTCCTCGAGCTGGCGCAGGTCACCCGGGAGCCTGAAGGCGCTGGAACCCCAACCACCGGAACCGGTGGCGATCAATAGCGACAATAGAGCGGACTCCAGCTTCATACCTTCGAGGTCTTCGACGCTGGCTCTAGCGCGGGTTGTCCGGATGGCGCAAACGGCGGCGCGGACGTGCTCTTGCGGAGAAGCACTGGTGGCCATCTCGGTGATCTCCTCGACTGCCGGCTGAAAAGTCCAAGCATGGTAGAGCGACAACAAGTTGTTGAGGTAGGCTCGAGGTCTCGAGGTTTTTTCGCGCGAAACGGGCGCTTTTTGTCGCAAGACTGACTCGGCAGGAACGCCGGCGCGCTTCTCTTTCTCTAACTTGGCTCTTACGTACATTCCCGTAGGAGGACTCTGTGTGTGTCTGTCTGCTGACAGGGTTTGCGACGAGGAGCGACCCTGAAAAAAGGCGGTTGTGTTCTCTAGGCCCCTAAGGGCCCTACGCGCGGCGTCGTGCGTCGACCAGCGACCAGTGCGCCGATATCTGGACGAAGGCTCTCGACAAGACGACCTTCCTCAAGCACCGAGCCAAGCTCGTCCGCTGATCTACTAGATCGGCTTCTTCCATGTTGTTCAATTGACATCCAGTCGACCGCTCCGATAGGCTACTACCTTGAGCTCGGGAGACAGAAGGTCACATGCCACGTTCATTAGCTCGCGCCTCTGATCAGCGCGACGCCTTACCTTTGTTGTCTCTGCAGACAATGGGGGAGTGTAAGAGATAAGGCGTCCCGGTGTGAACGTGTTCCACCCCTCACCCGTGTGCGTCTCTCTCTCTGAGAGAGGAGCCACCCTTCCTTCCTCCTGTGTCCTTGTCTGTCCCGCGCACATTGTCATGGAAGGTGGAGCGCGCACATTGTAGCGACGTTATACTAAGTCCTTTACTCTCTACGATTTCCGACAAGGACTTCAAGTAGACTGAGCTACGATGCATCAGTGTGTGTATCAGTGTACCAGCGCCGTGTGCATGCCGCGCATCATTAGGGCGATGCGGGGCGTCTACCCATGACATTCGCGCGTCAAGATGAAGGCGCGTGAAGACGAAACAGCTTGTACGACGAGCGTCCCATGCCTGCCGACAAAGAAAGAGAAAGACACGTCAACCCCAGGTTCCCGCCGAGAAGAGAGTCGCGGTGCGCTCAGCACCCGCAACCCCGCCCGTTTGCATGCCCGGCCGAACGAAGGCTGGCTCAGCCGCCTCCCGGCGCGGACACGCTTCAACGGCGCCACAGGCTGCGCCGCTCGCGCTGCCGAAAAAGATCGAGACAGCGGCGGCGAACGGCAAGGCGGGCGTGGTGCAGACGTGGCTCGCCGGGGACGGGCGGGTTGATGCGACGTGCGTGCGTGGCGGTGTGAGTGGCTGGACGCTCCTGCTGATCGCCGCCGGACACGGTCACAAGCAGATGGTCGAGGTTCTGCTGAAGCAGGGCGCGAGGGTCGACGCGCAAGACAGCTACGGCAGTACGGCGCTGATTGCCGCCGCCGTCAATGGCCACGTGCAGGTGGTCGAGACGCTGCTGCGGCACGGCGCAGAGGTCAACCTGCAGAGCATTCGCGGCACCACTGCGCTCACGAACGCTGCCTACTACGGCCACGAGCGCGTGGTCGAGCTGCTGCTGCGGCACGGGGCGGAGATCAACCTTCAGGTCCCAGACGGCCACACTGCGCTAACGTACGCCGCCTACTACGGCCACTCCGAGCTCGTGCTATGCCTGCTGCGGGCAGGCGCAGACATGGCGCTGCGCACTGCGGACGGCCACACGGCGCTGCAGACCGCCAAGGAGAAGGGCCACACCGAGTGCGTCGCCGCCGTCAAGACGTTTCTGGGCGAGGTGGTGGCGGAGAGGCGCGACGCGGCGGCGGTCGAGGCGGGCGGCGCGGGGGCAGGCAGCGCTTCGGGCGGCGCGGGCGGCAGCAGCGGGCCTGTTCCCGAGGACATCGGCGCAGGCGGCGCAGGGGCGGACGGCGATGCCGCCTCGGGCAAGGGGGCAGCGGCAGCATCAACTGCCGCGTCCTCTTCTGGCGGCGTGGAGAGCGGAACGGGCGAGGACGCCGTCCCCGAGGAGGTCGTGGAGGCGGCTATGCAAGGCGACGAGGCGGTGCTGGCGTGGCTCGACGGCGGCGGGCAGGTGGACGTGACTTTCACTGCGAAGGGTGTGAGCGGCATTACGCTGCTGATGGCCGCCGCCCGCTACGGCCACGAGCGGCTGGCCGTGGCGCTGCTGCAGCGTGGCGCTTCGATCGACCTGCAGAGCAGCGTCGGCAGTACCGCGCTGCTGTGGGCCGCCGACCGAGGCCACGAGCGGGTGGCCGAGGTGCTGCTGCAGCGTGGCGCCTCGATCGACCTTCAGACCAGCGACGGCCGCACCGCACTGATGCTCGCCGCCCTCAACGGCCACGGGCGGGTGGTCGAGCTGGTGGTGCGGTGCGGGGCAGAGATCAACCTGCAGAGCAGCATCGGCAACACCGCACTGATCATCGCCGCCTACACAAACCACCCCGCCGCTCTCCACTGCCTGCTGCGGGCGGGCGCCGACACGAAGCCGCGCACGGTGGCTGGACACACAGCGCTGCAGGTCGCCAAGGAGAAGGGTCACGCCGAGTGCGTGCGCGCCCTCGAGGAGCATGCGGCGGCCAAGGCGGCGGCCGAGGCGGTGGCGAAGGAGGCGGCGTGGGCTGCGGGGGCGGCGGAGCGGGCGGCGGAGCGGGCGGCGGCGGAGGCGGAGGCGGCGCGGCACGCCGAGGAGCTGCTGGCGGAGGTCGAGACGGAGAAGCGCGGCAAGGGCAAGAAGGGCAAGAAGAAGAAGAAGGGCGGAGGGGCGGGCGCGGCTGGGCCGTCGCAGGATCCCGAGGCGCCGTCAGGGGCAGCTGCAGCCAAGCCCGCGAAGCTGGACAGGGAGGGGTTGATCAGGCTTCTCGAGACGCTCCACGAGGAGCGGATTCGGTACGGCATCACGGCGGAGACGTCGGTCGAGGGGCTGGCGGAGGCGTTGGGAGAGGAGGCCGAGGCGGCAGGCGAGGCGAGCGAGGAGGAGACAGCGGGGGAGACAGGGGAGGCGGGCGAGGAGGCGGCAGCCGAGGCGGCAGCCGAGGCGCGCCGAGAGGCTGAGGCAGAGGAGGAGGAGGCCGCGGCGGCGGAGGAGGCGGCGGCCGAGGCGGCAGCGGCAGCCGCGGCGGCCGCGGCGGTTGCAGAGGCGGCGCTCGCCGCAGCCAAGGCGAGGCGCACCTCGGCGGCCGCTGCGAGGGCGAAGGCGCGGGAGGCAGCCTAGCCGTAGCCTGCGCGCAAGACCAAGAGGTTTCTGCGTGCTGGCGCAGTGGAAGGCACGGCGGCGGCCAGCTCTGCCGGCGCGGCGGCCGGATCGTCGAGGACGCCCGCGACGGTGGCAGGAACGTGGAGCAGGAACATGTCCGGCGTGACGCGGTCCACCACGAGCGCGTGCCGCACATCCGACCGCGTGCCGTGCCGCAGGTCGCCGACGGCCGCCTCGAGCGCCGCCCGACAGCTCGTGAGCTTCCGCTTTGGGACGAGCAGCGCGCCGACAGGGACGCCGCCGTGGTCTGACCGCCGAGAGCGGAGGGAGGCGTCGAGGGAGGCGTCGAGGGAGGAGGTGGCCGGCTCGGGCATATGCACGTGGATGGTGCCGCGGGAGGCTGAGGGGACAGCAGCTTTTCTTTTGAGCTACTAGCTAACGGGGAGAAATTCTCCA